ATTAACCCTATTAACTGTTGTTCGGGTCCCCTAGAACTAGAGTTATATGTGATTTTGAGCTGCCACATCGGTGGTGGGGCTTAAACTTATATTTGGGAAATCAGCCAGTGCTCTTAACTGCTGAGCCGTCTCCAGCCCCTGTTCTACTGTTTTAAGGGTAGCTTTTCCTTTATTGTATTATTTAGTTCTTATTCCCATTGTTTACTGGTTTTCTTCTTAGAGCACGCTGGGTCCTGAGCATGCTCTGCCAGTGAGGTTCTTTGACCTGATTTTTTTGTTGTTGTTTTTGGTTGTATAGGGTTTTGTTTGGTTTTGGAGATAGTCTTCTGTATCCAGGGTGTCCTTGACCTTGACTGTGGATTATCTTGTTCACCTCCAGAGTTCTGGGATTATTGGTGTGTACCACCACCACACCCAGCTTTATTCAATTATTCTCCCTTGACTGGATTCCACTTAGAGTCTCTCTGTAACCCCATTCTTACTTCTTAGGCTCTACAGATGTGGCAGCTTCTATGCTGGTGTACTCTAGGATTAGAACAGAGTGTGCTCAGAGACAGCTCTCACCACCTCCTTTCATGTCTGTAGTAGGAGGCCACTTGTTCATTTCCCTGCCGCCCAGACTCCCAAAATAATCACACAGAAACTATATTAATTAAATCACTGCTTGGCCAATCACTTAAGTATATTGCTGGCTAGCTCTTAACATCTAGGATTAATGCATTCCCAGTATTTTATATTTTACTACAAGGCTTGTGGGTCCCAGCTGGCAGCTTGCATCTTTTCCCCTCTAAACTCTGCCTTACTTCTCCCAGCATTCAGTTTAGTTTTCCCCGCCTATCACTACTCTTTTTGCCCTATCATAGGCCAAGACAGTTTCTTTATTAACCAATAGTATTCACAGCGTACAGAGGGTGATCCCACATCACAGGTCTGTGGCCTTTTTGTTTTTTCGTTTGTTTATTTTTGTAATAAAGGCTTACTTTTTAGGATTGTGTCTAATAAATTAAGGTTTTTTTTTTTTAAAATATACTTTGTCCTTCGTGATTTCTTTTCAATAGTAGATGTGTAAGGTCTTGGGATGTTCATTTCCTTCTGTGTTAAACTCCTAGACTTTTCCCATAGTTTCCTTACTCTGTATGTTGAATGCAACCCCCAGCTCCCCAAGGGTGGCATCTTGAATGTGTTCAGTTTTATTATTAGCCCTGACTTTCCTTCTGTGCCTTGTCTATGATTGTGTAATATTTTTTAAAAATATTTTAAATAAAGTTTATTTACTTTATTTTATGTGCACTGGTGTTAAGGTGTCAGATCCCCTGGAACTGGATATTCAGACAGTTGTGAGCTGCCATGTGGGTGCTGGGAACTGAACCCAGGTCCTCTGGAAGAGCAGTCAGTGCTCTTAACCACTGAGCCATCTCTCCAGCCCCATTTTAAAAATGTGTAGCCCAGGCTACACATTTAAAAATGTGATCCTCCTGCCTCTGCCTCCTTCAGAAAATCCTACTGGCATGCGCCACCACAACCGGTGATTGTGTAATATTTTTAAAAATTTGTTCTTGTCTTTTTTTGACCTAGAAAGACTACTCAGTGGATAAAGTGCCTACTACCTAAACACAGGGTCCTGAGTTCAGCTCCATAGAACTACCCTTAAAAGCCAGACCC